TAATAATAATAAATAGATTAATATTACAGTGACGCCAAATTTGGTCTTTTTTGGATTACGTATAATTTTGGTTAACTATATTAAATATGATATACATATACCTCATCGAAAAATATATTTGCAATCTACAATTTAGCATTTACACTTTTTAAATTGCAATCTCCATTACATTTTCTATGGGTGCTTGATATTGAAAATTAATAATTTTAATGTTATTATGTATCTGAAAAGTCTCAAAAGTTCCTTTCGACTCATAGAAACATAGAAAACTCATAGAAAAAAAAAGGAGTTATATATACATAATAATCAATGAATAGCCGATTAGCCAAGCTTCCCAAATTCAATGGGCCTTCGCGCAAAACTCTAGGCAAATCATCAAGCGATTATACGCAGGCAAGAGAGCATAGTATATTGCCAATCTCGCAGTTACACGAAGCCAATATACTCTCTACAAACTAGATGACCGGGCATAACAAGTGAGAGGGCGCCACCTCTGACATCGCGTCTGTCTGCTCTAATTAGGCGCACATAAATTGCGCCGCAAGAACAGCAATAAAAGCAACAAATCCTAAATAACAATTAAAACAATTTTCAAGATTAGAAACACCTCACGGCTGAGGCTTTAATATTTTAATTAAAAATTCTTTAGCCTCAATATGCTGGCGGGCAGGCTCTCACAGCTCAAGGTGTGGTATGCCCTGTTGCTCTGCTTCCTCTTATTGTTGTTTATGTTTATGCTGCTGCTGTTGTTGGTGTTTTGCGAAGTGTTGGCCATAGCCAGCGGTCGAGTGTTCTGAATGGTCTCCGGAGGCCTATGACTTTGAATTATTGCAGGCCAAGTCATAAATTAAGTACGCGGCTCACAAGTGGGTTGCGCGTGAGATACTTGGGCATTGGGTGGAGGGGTGCGAGGGCGTGCCGCCGGCGGCTAGCGGCGTTGGCAGGCGTGGCAGCTCCGCCTCCTTGAGTACCGTTTAGAGCCAGCTAATAATCTGAAATGGACGTAAGAGGCGATCGTAACCCACGAATATCCCCATTCAATCAAATTAAGAATTTGCATATATGCAAAATATGCTCACGGCTTATGGAGCTACATATATGCAGCCATAAATGGATGTAAGTATATTTGTGTATATTTTATATATATTTCGACATCTGTATATTTATGTGAAGTAATGAGATTGCTTTTTTCAAATGATAAAATTACTATCCTTTCATGAAAATTGTAATGTTTCGTTTAATATGCGAAAAATTTAATGCAAAAGTAACTGCATATACACATACATATATATGTATATGTATAYGTCATCATTGTTTTGATTATTTTCATCTCATTAAAATAACAACTGTTAAATAAATGTGGAATCGGTCGAACGTCAATAAAAAATGTGGCCAATTTTCACTCTGTTTTTTTATACCCTGAACCCATTGAAAATGGGAAATCAGGGTATAATGGTTTTGTGAAAAGTATGTAACAGGCAGAAGGAATCATCGCAGACCCCATAAAGTATATATATTCTTGATCAGGACGACGAGCTGAGTCGATATAGCCCTGTCCGTCTGTCCGTCCGTCCGTCCGTCCGTCCGTCCGTCCGTCCGTCCGTCCGTCCGTCCGTATGAGCAAAAGGATCTCAGAAGATATAAGAGCTAGAGAGCTGAAATTTGGCATGCATACTATCGGCAGTACAAGTTTATCTTATTTTTTCGATAACTCATCATTTCAACATTTTTAGACCTGTAGACTTCAAATTTGTGTTGTATATAAAGTTAATGGATGCAAAGATATTGTTATTTACAGATTTTAGATACCACGCGCCCTTCGCCGCCAATTTGTAAAAAATCGTATTTCAAGTACTAGAGACCTGTGCTTTGGAATGTACACACAATTTAACAATATGATTACGTTTTGACAGTTTCTACAAAAGAAATTATTCAACAAATAAATTCTCATAATATTGCCCACACTGTAGCGCAGACCAAGCGCAGTCGCTGCTAACTGCGCAGTCAACAGAGCGCGTGGTATACGTATAGGTTCAGGGTATCTCCCAGAGCGCTGTAATTTTGCATGTCAGCTAATGTTATGAGTCTATAAAGTCTAAAGACAAAATTATAAGTCTACGCTCATTAGGGGCGTGGCAAATCGGACCTGAAGATGTAGTGATTTTTTAAATTCTGCTATATTTTGGACACTATTGATGCAAGAGACCTCAAATTTTGTATATATACTCGGGCTAATCACCCCGCTAATCACCCAGACCAAAAAGCTTCTACGCATATATGTCCAGTCGAGATTACTCGACTCCAAGTTGATATTCTAATCATTCTGCACTTCTTTTATGCACACATACATACACATGCATCCACACGCACGAATAAGCCTTCGCTCTGCTAACTGCGCAGTAAGCAGCGACTGCGCTTGGGCTGCAGTGTGGGTAATATTATGAGAATTTATTTGTTGAATAATTTCNTATATATTTTCTTTTAATAATTAGTAAAAACCATTAGTGCAAACAGTTCGTGTTTGTTTAATTTAAAAGCCTTTCAACTATAAGTGTAAGACTCTAGGTTAAATCTCTTGGCTCTTTTTTTAAAGCAATTTCCATTATTATCGAGACCGCCTCGAGCTGTGCGCAAATAAACATGTGATTGGTGGCTACTTGAGGCGCTGGGCCTGAACTTGTTGCACAGGGAGGGCCGCACTTCTCCGGCCGAGCTCGCTGGGAGGCGAAGCAATTTGGGCACAATAAAGCTGAAACAGTCTCGGCTCGAGCCTGCATATTAAATCCTGAGGCAGCCAGAGGGGCACGCCTCAGACCCTCATAAATAAGGGGCGGGCGGGCGAGGCGAAGGAGTTAACCCAGCAGACGTTGCGGCCGCGCAATCAAATTCAGATGCTTGGCGACTCTCAATGCGCCGCTGCTTAAGTGTCGTAAAGTCCTTTTGCGTGCAACAGCAACAACAACAACAACGACAGCAGCAACATCTTTGGCTATGGCTTTTATGATTTATGCAACTATCGCCTGCAGCAGCAACAGCAACAGCCAGACCCAGGACCAAGCCTCATTGCCGAAATCCTTGAGGCGCATACGAAAAAAAAGTGTGTGTGTTTTTTTTTCTTTGCACATTTTTTTTCTCCATTTTTGGCCAAATGTCTCCGTCGGTGGTGTTGGCGGTGGCGGCTCTTCAAATTGTGCAATTTTATGGGCTGGCGGTGCGGGGTGCGGCACGGCATTCATGAATAAAAGATTTCCAAGTGTGCTGAATGCCACGCCCTCGCCACCGCCACCGCCCCCGCACCCCACGACCAACGCCCACCTCACTCAATTTATTATGCTTCTGGCCTTGCCGAGTGCAAATAATAAGCAGCAAGTGCACAGCCACGCCCACCACAGCCCCACAAAACACTTTCAGCTGGCAGTGCTCTCTTTCTCTCTCTCCCTCTCTCTCTGGCTCACTCTGGCTCACTCAATACCCGCCCACACAATTGTGGAGGCGCCTTTCGTAAAATTAGCAAAGCAAAGAGTTGCAGTTTACTTGCCATTTAAGCGCCGCACTCGACAGCTGTGTTTGTCAGTGCCAGCAACAGCAACAGCAACAATAACAATGCCAAGAACAACAACAACAACACTAAACAAACAGCGAGACAAACAACAATGTCAGCGCTGAGGTTGCATTTGGATTGTTTGCACTCGCCGTTTGTTTTCCTTATTTGTTGTCTCTCAAGATCGCTTGGCCGTGCCCAAAAGCAGCAGCCCAAATAAGCACCTGCCTCTGCACTTGTCACGCCCCTTGCCAAAAAGAAGGCGCCACAGCGTTACTAAGCCCAGCGCAAAGGTTCTGTGCTGTGGGAAATGTTGTATTGTAAGAGATTATAAAACTAATCTATTTATATTTTGTATTTATATTTTGTATAATTTTGCATAATGAATTCAATTCAATTAACAATAAACATGCTCAATCAGTAGTTAATTTCTCTTAATTCATTTAATTATTTTGACATGTTATTTAATAAAATTTTTGAAAATAGTCTCATTGAATTATTTTATAACTTAAACATATTTCCTACTATTATTTTATTTTAGACATAACCTTTTTTAAATATTTGAAAAAACGCGCCAAAAACTCTGGTCTGCGTTTCCCAGCACTGCCGATGTAGCACAGCCAACTTCAAATAAGGAATTTACATTAGCGCATCAGATAACAGTGCCTTTTTGAGCTCACCGCTGTAACTGTGAAAAGAATTCACAGCTAGTTGACACAATAGGTTCTTGCTCAAATTGGTTAGCTAGGTTGATGGTGTGACGTCACATATTTGTGAAATTTTGCCAGCTTGTTAGTCTCTCTGTGAAAAAGATATAGGAGCTTTATTTATACATTCAGAGATTTTTAAAAGCAATAATGATTTGTGTATCAATCAGTCTAAATGCTGACTAATCAAATATCTTACATACATATTACCACTAACCAGAGATATTACCATATTAGTGATATTACCATATTAATTATTTATTCCCTCAAAATATATATTTTGAGCATATCTTCATTGTTTTCACATTCTTGGAATCTTATCTGCGTTAACCTGTCATATACAATAAAAATATTCGTGCTCGTGCCTCAATTCAATTATATTAACTTTGCCAATATGGAAAATTTGTACAAGCAAAACTGTTAGGCTTCATTGTAAAATGAGCGACTTTAACAGTATTACCACTGACCAGTGGTATTACAGCATATTAACAGAGAGCCAGCTTAAATTTTGAAACTTTTAAACAGAAGTTATCGAATATTTTCTGCGCGCATCACGGCCACACTGCTCGATTGAAATAAATTATTTTTTGTGTTGCGCCACGCTGGTCTCACCAAACAGTTGCCGAATTGTTTTTGTCGCGAGCGGTTGATGTGAGCGGGCGTTGCGCATTGAATATTTTTGTGTACGTTTGTTTCTTTGAGTAAACGCCATTTGTGTGTGTGTGTACGCGCGTATGATAGTGTGCGCGCCTGTGTATGTGCATGCTAACGAGTTGTTTTTTGCGCCTCTGTACAGTTAATATTCATATTTTGCTCTTAACCGCACTGCACTCGAAGCAAATGTAAGTGGCAAAATGAAGCGTGCGAAAAAAATTGTGCAAACTGGCGCCGAACGCAGCGGCGTCGCCTTTGCCTCGTTTTGTATTGTAGTCGGCGTTGTGTAGCTGCTGCCTAAGCCCAGCATTTTGTTGTTGAGCGGCGCGCAGTGTCTGTTTGGGCATGTGTGTGTGTGAATTGAGTACGCGCGTTTGTATGTGTAAATTCCAAAACACGCTGCACAGTGGCACCAAACACGAGCTAACAATCATTTCAGTGCGTATGCCCGGCTTTGGAAATTCAAATGTGTGAGTGTGTGTGTGTGTTTGGGTGTGTCGATGTTGGCCGTGTTTATAATTCTCTTTATTTCGATAAAATTTTTGACCCAAGTGAAGTTTCTGTATGCATGAGTGTGCGTTTGTTTATGTGTGCGTGTGTGTGTGTGTGCGTGTGTCTGTGTGTGTGTGTGTGTGTGTGTACTTGGTGCGTCGCTATTTCTTTTGTTGTTGCTTTTCATCATCTACGCTTTGGGCCCTCTTTTACAATTCTCTCATTCTAAGCCTATTCGCAAGCGGCTGCCGCGCACTAGTCAAGTGTCATTGTGACTTGTTGTTGCTTCGCTTTTTCTCGTTATTGAGTGTGTGCGTTGTCAATGTGTGTGTGAGTGAGTGTTTGTAGTAGAAGAAGCAACAAATGTTGCGATTGCTTCGTTTTTGCGTTGCCAACTATGAAAACTTGCGAACGTGATAAAATGTGACCAAAGTGCGAGAAGAAAAAAGCCGGACGAAAACAACAAAAAAAAAACAACAAAAAAAAAAAAAACAAAAAACAGTAGCAGCCTCAAGAAGAAGACAAAAGTGCCAATTAGAATTTATTATTATTCATTATTTTGCTTATTACTCTCTTTCACTCATTCGCACTCACACACATATCCATATGCACAGTCAGCTCATGGTAGGCCTGAAGTCGCTCTGCGCGCTCGCACACGCTACTGCTCTCTCGTTCTGTCTCTGTCTCTCTTTGGAGTCACAACAACAATAACTGTTAGGCAAGGACAGTCGATAGCAAGGCAAAGCAAGGCATTTTTGACGCGTGTGCTTCAGCTGCTTCCTCTTCTTTTGCGCTGTCTCTTACGTTGCGCGTAACCAATACAAATGCGAATACAAATACAGAGACGAACACGAATAGTGCAAAGTTAAATGTATTAAATTCTTAATTCATTTGCAGTAAATAAGCGCAAAATGTTGCCAAAACGTGTGCGATAAAAGTGAAACGGAAAATAAAGCCAACAAAAGTACAACACCAACAACAACAAACGAAGAAAATAAAGAAACATAGTGCAGGGCCAGGCCAGCAACAAAGACTGCGCGTGCCTGTCTCTGTCTCTATCTGTTTCCGTGTGCGTGCGTGTGTGTGTGCGCGTTTGTATATTTGTGTGCGTTCGCAACAGATGCTGCAAACGCTACGATTTAAGTGTATGTTGTTGTTGTGCAAAGACAACAACAGCAACAGCAGCAGCAACACGAGCAACAACGACGAATAAAACGACAACAACAACTATCACGAAAGACGTCATCATCAGCAACAACAACAGCAACAACAACCATGTTCAAGTGCATTCCAATTTTCAAAGGCTGCAACAGGCAGGTGGAATTCGTGGACAAACGCCACTGTTCACTGCCCCAAGTGCCGGAGGAAATTTTACGGTACTCGCGAACCCTCGAGGAACTCTTTTTAGATGCGAATCACATACGGGATTTGCCAAAGGTCAGTATAAATATTGTTGCATGTGTATGTGAGTTGAGTCTATGTATGCTTATATGTTTTTGGTAACAGCTGTTGCTTTTTGGTATGACAGTTCGCACTTTGGAAATTAATCCTTCAGGAAATCGAAATGAAGTTCAATTCAATTGTTATTCTTATTAAGTTTATACATAAATTATTTATTTTATCATTATTCTTTATATTATTACAATGCAAAATGAAACGGTATCCTACAATTTTGTAGTATMAYTTGTATTTTCCCARCACTGATTTATGCTAATTATAAATTGGGTCAATGGACTCTGTTAAAATGCTAGGATTAAGTTTTTTCTTGCGGGCATGCAAACGTGCAGCATCCCCTGGAAGATGATCTTTTCACATATAAATGCGAACCGCTGAAGTCCTGCTAGCTACCTAGAGCCCTTCAACCCCTTGCCAACCCCCTTTAGGTTTATTGTCCGTCATCGTGTGCGCTGGCCATTGCATCGCCTCCATTCTTTCCAGATAGGTCTGCCAAGACAATGATTACAACAAAAGACCTCCGTGGGCCTCAGCTCGAACGGAAGTCTTTAATTAATATGGATGCACAGTGGGGCGCGGCTCTTTTACAATTTCTGCTCATTCCACTTGGGCCAAGAATGTCTGCGGCATGCATACATAATTGAATCGCCAATTACGCAACATGCAAGAAGATGACTACATACATATGTATATAAGTATGTATAGATATGCCTATATATGTATATATAGAACATTTAGCTTAAATTGGTTACATGCATATGCTAATTATGCAGCAGATCAAATTATGAGCAAGTAAAATAAACACTCGGACGTTTCTGATTTTTAGCGTTTTAAATTAAAATAATTTATTTAGTTGAACTAAGTTACATTTAATTATTTAAGTTCTTGATCGGAAAATATTAATTATAGTTCGGAATCCAAAGGGAAATTCATCGGCTCAAATAATTTCTCTGTCCCTTATCAGCGGTTGAATCATGTCGAATCATGCGAATGCTCAGAAATTATTTATTCTTTCCCCTCGCTTCCGTTGTATATGCAGCTGACTAAAAACAAACAAATCAAACAAACAACAACACTGACAACAACAAGTAGCGCAATCTATAAACAGAAAACAAAGCGTTGACATAGCAACAAGTGGTGCTGGGTGCTGGTTGGGGGTTGCCTGGTTGCTTCCCTTGTACTATATGTGTATATATACTACATATGTATGTATATATATCTATATCATTGTCCTGCTGATGTTGACTAGTTGCAAAAAATTAAACAGTTTTACAATAAATGTCAAAAAGTTACACTCAAAAGTTGTTTTTACCATTTTGTGGTTTGAATTTCGATAGCCATTTGAATATAACAGGAAACACGAAAAAGAAAGATCATTTAAACATACCTTAAAATTTGTATATGTGTATTTTATATTTATATAATTACGCAGAAGCTTATCGAAAGTTTACCTTTAAAATCTTGCATCATGTTGGGTTTTTTATTGGTTTGTTTAAATGCTTGAAGCAGAAAATGAAAAGAATATTCGACACACGGTGTGGTATCTTGAAAAAAAAAAAGAATTAAAAGTATTATATGATATTTGAAGTTTTATGTATAGTTAAGCAATACCGGCTTTCTTTCAAATTTTATACCATATCAATGCAATGCAAAAGGTTTCCGCCATTTTTTTGTCAGTCAGTTCAGTCATAAACATATATATATAATAACTATGCTTGCCTTACACCTACAAATAAATGTTCGTATAAATATGCACTAGACTGACTGAACTAAGCAGTTCATAGCAACTTTCAACTTAATTATTATTGATTCGAACTATCTAATTATAAAGTTAAATTTTGTTCTCGCAATCTCTTGTGAGGGTATCTCATCTACGGCATCTACTCTGCTCTTCGCCTTACCTTGCTGTAATTTCCATTCAGTTGTTTACCGCATGTCATGAAATTGTAAAGTTTTCCAGTTTCCATCTTCTAGAGCTTCCTTCGCGGTTAGCCGCACTCACTAATGAACTTCTAATGCAAATTTGTGTTCCTCGTTTACATCAATAAAGTGCACAAGAGGAGCAACAGCATTTACTAGACCAATGGACTCACTCTTTGCAGGCAGGCAGCACCTCCAACAGCCGCAGCAGAGGTAGCAGTAGCAACAACATGTTGCTGACCGATGACAACGACAACAACAACAAGAGCAACAAGAGCAGCAACAATAACGACAACAATGGACAGCCATAATGATGATGTTCCTTCTCGTTGCTCTGTGGAAGTTCGTTTGGATTCCAAACCAACTGACAGCGTCGGATGTGCTATTGGCGTTGTTGCTGTTTGCTGCTGCTGCTGCTGCTGCTACTATTGCTGGCTGCTGCTGCTGCTGCTGCTGATACTAGAAGCTTTGATCGGCCATCAACCCTTTAGGTCTTTGAGTGCGGCAGACAATTTCCGCGTTGTCATAGCGACAATAAACAACATCAACGACAGCAATCTGTGCTTCAATTGTATTGCCACTAACTCGACGACAATCTGCCGCAATCTTGAGGTCTATTCACGTCGCTTGTCGCTTTTGCCAGCTGGAGATGAGCAGTTCAGCACTTTAGCTCTTCGAATCGACCAACTATGCATTTAAATATTTGTTTAAATTCTTTTTTGTATCTTCAACTATAGTCAATTTGGTAATTGCTTAGACAGATTGAAAAGAAAACACAAATACAAAAAAAAAAAAAGTATTTTCAATTGTTGGGTTTTTGGCCTTTCACATCAGCGCTAAATTTAGCAAATTCATTGAATATACGAAAGCATCATAGATAGCAGCTATCGCTTTTGCTTTGTTATAATTCGATAGTAGGAAATTCCTGACAATTTGAAGACTGGTGAAAAACTGTTGGAATTACAGTTCAAATAAACTTTTCTGATGAGCAGTTGAGCAGTAGTTACGCATTTCAAATTGAGCAATATTTAAATATTTTTAAAATTTTATTTTATACTTCAGCTACTACTTACATATATAAGAATATTTGTGGTTTTGGCTTTGGAGTTAAAGTTAGCAAATCCATTTAATGATCGTTAGCTGCTATCGCTTTTACCACACTTATCTGTCGATAGTAGGAAATTGCTATCTTTAAGACTGGCTGGAATTACATGCCATATAAACTTGTATTTGCTAACTTTGCCCTCATGGTAGCTATAAACAATTTTATTTTTATATCTAATTACAATTAAAACGTAATTATTTTAGTAACAGAAGTCTGAGAGCGAGTAAAATGTACATAATTAATTGCTCTCACGAGTTATTATAGGCAATTATTTCGTATGTGTCAAGTGGCATTTGAATGCGAAATGTTCTGTGGTATTTTGCAATTGGCGGAATTTCATTTGTGGCTTGCGGGCGGAACCTACCTCAAGTGACTTTCATTGAAATTTTTAACATTTTCACTTGAGTATAGAATTGGGTTGTCCACCTCGCTGGGGCGTACCCCCATTACGTCGCCCCCATTCAGCGCTCTTTTCGTTGACTGCCAATTAGTCACGCCCGCCGATAAGATATCAAGTAATCGGGTCTTATCGCCTGCCGCTGCCTTGGGGTCTGGTCTCCAGGTACAAAAACCTACAAAAACCTGAGCGCCTTCCCGCTTGTCTTTTGCAATTCGAAACGTCGCGCCGTTGTTATTGCAGGTGCGTTATTTTTTTTTTCGTGTTTTTGTTTTTGTTTCTGAGAGAACTTAACCGGCTGTTTGTCTGTTTGTCTGGCTATTGGAACACAATACCAAAGCGTCGGCAATGACATCATTTAGCAGCAGCGCAGCCATGAAAACAACAACTAAATATCATTTAAAATGGCGTCGTCGTACTCTGGCCTCTGTCTCTGTCTCTGACTCCGTCTCTCTCTCTACAAGTCTAGCTAAGCCCACAAGCAAATGAAACTTAGCTGTAAGCTGGCCCGATTGATAGTGTCTCATAGTGGCCGATAGTTCTGCTTTATGTTGTGGCCGAAATTCGAAGTGGATTTTATCTATTTGGCTTTTGCAATGGGTCACAGTTAGCTTGCTTTTTATTTATTTTTACTAGCAGCGCACTCAACGGCTTGCTTATATAAATTCTTTAGAGCTGTCGAGTCGCTCAAAACCGGTTCCATAAACAGACATACAATAAATGTTCTCAAGCTATTTCAATTAAATGTTATACCCTGTAAATACAAATGTACCATATAGGGCTTAATTGATCGTTCCTAATATGTAAAATATTAATGAATCAAATTACTAAAATGTTTGTAGTTCCGAATTTTGTATATATAATTTACAATTCGTTGCCTCTTCAATAATTTGTTCAAAATAATTTTATTAATTTCTGATTTATTATATATATATTTATAAGATAAATAAAAAATCTTGATAATTATTAATTTTTTTATATTTAAAATTGAGCTTCAATTACTTTTAAATATTAAGTATATGAAGTATTTATTTATTTTATTCGTATTATTTTTTTAAAGCTTTTTGTAAACATTTATTTACGATTCGGCGATCTTAAGCGTTGCTTTTTTATTGATAGCAATAAAATCTTTTTTATTTAGAAATAGTTGTTTATATTTAAAATATTTTCGTCTCTAGTTTGAGGTGTGCTCGTATTATATTTATATCGGTATRTGCTATACATAAATAGATTAGTTCTTAATCGTATCTTTTCTTAGATTTATGTATACATATTTATATATATATATATGCGGCCTTACCCTCCAACGGCAAATGGTTTTATGTCTCAATGATTTTCTTATCTTGTAGCTTTGTCGCAAATTTGATTGATCGATAATAAAAGTTGTTTGTTTTTGTATCACACAAAGCAATGTTTATATTTATATTGCCCTTGTTAATTTGAAGATATCTGCTAGTCGAGCGCATACTTTGGAAATATTTGTGGCCGTTTCTATTTGCTGAGTGCAGTTAAACAATAATCCACTAACTGACGTCAACAAACCGCTTGCACTCGAAACAC